AAAAAAAAAAAAAAAAAAAAAAAAAAAAGAAAATGTATTGGAATAAGATTATATTAGTCTTTCAAAAATCAAGTCTTCCTCTGACTCTAAAATCTCAAACCTCCCGGTGACAGCTATTAGTCCCTTCTTTGTTCTCTGTCCTGAGATAATCTACACTTCCAGAAGCATTGTGTTTCTGTCTATGTATACTTTCCTCCATTGCTTTTTTTATTTTTCTTTTTATTGTTTTTGGTTTTTTGAGACAGGGTCTCACTATGTAGTTGAGACTGACCTGACACTCACTATGTAGCCCAAGCTGGTCTCGAACTCACAGCGATCCTCCTGCCTCAGCCTCCCGAGTGCTGGGATGACAGGCGTGTGCCACCACGCCTGGCCTGTCCATTGCTTTTTGAGGAAACACTTGTATCCATTTCTCTGTACAAGACACCTCAAAAAGTAGAATTTGTTTCTAATTTAAAAACATTTTTTCCTCCCATGTGTATCGGGTAAATGTGTACATTGCTTGCGGGAAACTGGTCCACGTACATAGCACAACTTAATTCCTTTTCTCATCCCCTTTCCCTTCCTTCATTCCCCTCTCTCCCCATACCTTGATTCCCTTCAGTTTTCTTTTTGTATAAGTTTGGAGCACATAATGTTCTCATTCCTTGTTTGGAGTTGGTAGTTGCTGTGAAAGAATAAACTTTATGAACAAATAGAAGAATTTTGATTTTTCAAGCCTAGGACTGACCCAAGGCAACTGGAAGGTAGACATAGGATGGTCGTGGTCACAGGGTACACTTGGATAAGCAGAATGACCGTGAACATTTTCTAGCACAGTAAGAAAACTATGGCTGGTGACAGTGAATTTCCTATCTCCAAATGGCTACTAGAGCAGAGTTTGAATATTCCCAACAACTGGAAATGATGAATATCTGCCGTGATGCACATATTGTCTAATAATGACGAATTATATACGTGTGTTGAAAATCACGTGATCTCACCAGCTATGCAACATAGTTTATTTGAAGAATCTATCTTTTGGAAACCATTCCACCTATTGCCCTGTTCTTCACTGACCACTCCATCTTCCATAAGAATTACCAAAGCTGGTAGAGTTTGCCTCTGGATGCATTGATGTTTAGGTTATTTCTAGTATTGTCCTCTTCTAATAACTATGTTTCTATTTTCATCCCAATCTTTTTTTTTTTTTGGAGAACTAATTCAGAGAAATATGCATGTTTTAAATTTGACAAATTAACACCTAAAAAAAATCCATAGTGCATAGTGTCAGCAGTAAAAAATATGCACAAAACTTAAACCGGGCGTGGTGGCTCACTCCTGTAATCCCAGCACTTGGGGGGCTGAGGCACGAGGATCGCTGTGAGTTCGAGACCAACCTGGGCTACACAGTGAGTTCTAGGTCAGTCTCAACTACATAGTGAGACCCTGTCTCAAATAACCAAAACAAAAATATGCACAATTTTGCTGGATATAGTAGCACACACCTGCAGGAGACTGAGGCAGGAGGATTGCCATGAGTTCGAGGCCAGACTGGGTCACATCATGAGTTCAAGTCCAGCCTGAACTACATAGTGAGACCCTGTCTCCAAAAACCCCACCCCGAACAATGCACAATGGTGTGACCTTCTCATATTAGTACCCAAAATCACTGGAATTTTATGAAGATTAAAGTGGGGAATCTTGTCATGTGTTTATTAGCTGCTCACAATAATATCATAGTTTTTTAATCATCCATGTTCATTTATCTCTCTGAGAACATTCAAGTTCCATTCTTTACCCCCTGAGTCTAGATCTGAGTCCTCAAACAAAACAAAACAAACAAACAAAAAACTGGGCCATCAGCAGTAATGGTTGTCAGGCTCTGTGGGCAGCATCTTCTGCATTCAATCAACACGTATCTGGCTGGTTCTGAGACCACACAAAGGTTCGAGACTCATGACATAATCTCTGTGCCTTGGGATCTGCTAGGGTAGAAGAGAGGCTGAGTGACCAGAAGTGGTAGAGCCTCTCCATGGAGGAAGAAAGGAAACAGAAAAGAGTGAGCAACTGTCTGAAAGAGTCAACAAAGGTAGCCTGGAAATAGAAGCCTAACCATTGGGTTCTGAGGTGTGGTTAGGAGTTTTCTCAGTGAAAGCAGAGGTAGTAGGGGAGAAGTAGGCAGGCACGAACACTTGTATGGCAACATTTGGCATTTCTCACCCATTTTTCCCTTTGTAGGTTTCATTAAATGGCAAATACTATCACAGCTTTGCCTATCGAATGCCACTGAGTTCTGTGCAGATGATACAGGTGTGGAGAGATGTCTTCCTGGATTCACTGGTTTTCTAGGAGGGACAGTGAGCAGACTCCCCAGCATGAAAGGAGGTTTTCCTCGCTCTGGATGACCGAGATGCTCCCAGAGCCCACTGACAATGATTCCACATCACCCCCCATGGATGCATTTGGTCATTAAAACTTTACGAAATTGAACAGGATTTGGCTCTTGCTTTGGAGGAAAAGAAAAGAAATGGTCATCTCCAAGAGGCCTATGGGAATTCCCTGGGAGGGTGGAGGGAATCCAAGTGGATAATCTAGGTTGGTGTGTAGCTCAGTGGTAGCGTTCTGGTGTAGCGCGTCTGAGTCCCGAGTTCCATTCCCAGCACCACAAAAATAAGTAACAATGAAAAAGAGGGTAGGTAAATCCTTCTGTGACCGAAGAAGTCAGGTCACTGACAAGTCAGAGAAAAGTCCTTATTATATGTCAGACCCTGTGAACCAAGGTCCTCACCCAGTTCCAGTGTTAAGCAGAAATGTTCCACACTCCCTATTGCCACGCAGAGGTAGCTGGTGGCCCATGGGAGAAACATTTCCTTTGTAAGTGAATCGCCTCAGGTCCTTAGTTCTCATAATACAAAGATGATTGCTACAATTATATGTCACAAAATGGAAAGGAAAAATTAAATCAGACTGGGTCTATGGAAAAGCCCCAAAGCTCAAGGGTGACAGTGAGCATCCATCTTAGCTCTTCCTGCAGTGTGGGGAGAACTCAAGCACCCAGTGAAGAATCTTCCTTGCTTCCCGCCTATCCACCAGGTCCACCACAAACCCGCAGTTACCCACGGTTATTAGTTTGTATGTCTTCTACCGAAATGTCTTCATACCCTAAAAGTCAAATATGAACATAGTTGTTTCTTCCATTTTTATTCCGAAGCTACACACGCATGCACGCGCACACGTGCGCGCACACGCGCACACACACACACGCACACACAACTTTCTTCCCTTAGCAATCATTTAAATGTTAAATACTTTAATGAAGTATCCCATTCTAATCTATGGCTGTACCATAATATCTTTAAGCAGTTCTTTATTTATAAGCACTTGAGTTTCCCTTGTCTTTCCTGTTATAAACAATAATACAGTGAATGACTTCATACATTTGAAAGGTATGCAAGAAGGTCCACAGGATGAATTGCAATAATCAAAGGTTACACATACTTGTAATATTAATAGATGTATCTGAATTTTCTCATGTAAGCTTTCCTAATTTGCACTGTTATGCACCAGAAGGCACGAACTCATTAACCAGCCAGTACCTTGAAGCATCAGATTTCTAGGATGTTGCCAATATGACAGGTAAAGTTCTTTCAGTTCCATCTTGGATGAACATCCCTTGACGTGTCTAATACCCGTGGTGAAAGGTACCCCAAATCGCCCTCGATTTCCTACCGATGGCAAGTTCAGAAGCGCCTCTCATTCTTCATGGGTTCAATAACTAACAAGAAGGACTCAGAACTCACTGCACGTTGGTAGATTATTATAATTTATCACAAGAAAAGGCTTCCTATTGAACTTGGCCGCAGGAAGAAGTCTACAGGGCAGAGTTCACGAGGGAACCGCACCGGAGCTTCCTTTTGTCCTCACCCCACGTCAGGAAAGAGTTGCTTCTCACGCACCACTGTTGTATGATACACACGGAACAACGTCAACCAGGAAAGCTCAGGGCGCCCAGAGTCTTTATTGGGCTCCATGACTGACTACCCCACTTGGCCCTAGGTGGCGGATTCCAGTCCCTAACTCTTGCAGACATTGAAAACTCATGACCAAAGCCCTCATCCTCACCACATGCCTGGTGTGGCTTCATCCCCACCCACAGGCTCCTTGTGACCATCTAACTGCCCGGGACTCTCATTCTGCATTGCTAGATTGTTTGTTTTGTTTTGTTTCTTTGTGCGGTACTGAGGATGGAACCTGGGGGCACTCTACCACCGAACTACATCCTCTGCCTCTTTTTTATTTTATCACAGAGCTTTCTTCATTTGCCCAGCTATGACTTGCACTTTCAATCTTCCTAACCCAGACTCCCGGAAGTGCTGGAATTACAGGTGTGCACCGCCAAACCCAGCTCTGGTTTTGTTTTCGTTAAGTGAAAGAAGTCAGACTCAGAAAGAGAAGTATCACATATTCTCCCTAATATTACAGAAAAATAGGAAGAAGACTATCATTAGGTAAGAGGGAGGGAGTGGGGAAGATGACCATAGGGTGAAGGACGGGTAATGGATTGGTCAAAATATATTATATTAATATTTATATTTAATAGGTCTCATAAAACATTTTTAAATCAATAAAAATGAAAACTTTAGTCATCTGTTTTCAACTGAGCACAGTAGAAAATGTCTTTCAGTATCAAAATACATAATTCGGGAAACTACTAAAAAGAAGCCATTATACAATAGTTGCAAGAAAGGTTAAAAACTGTTTAAAAAATAGAAAATTGCTATTGATGACAGCCTACCAATAAAATCTGATAAAACTGATAGTCATATTGTAAGAATATATATTTCCACAATTGTATGAATAGAAAAATTAAACTACTATTTTATCTCTCTATAGTTCTGAGTAATTTCCATTGAAAAATGTATTCAATTTAAACAGGAAACAATGAGATTCATTGAATTAAATACAAAACATGCTATATCATCAGGAGGAAATGTACAAAACATCACTAATGGATATTAAAAACCAGAATGTAAGAAGAGTTATAATATATTCATTACAGAGATTAAAAAATAACGAGGATACTTGTTATCTCCAATCACACCGATCCACACGCCTCAGCCTCCCATATAAAATTTCAGGTATATTTTAATGACGTGTACACTGAAGTTTTCACGGAGCTTAAATTATTTCTAGAATTGATTTTGTTGTTTTTTGTTTTTGGTACGAGGGATTGAATTTGGGACCTTGCGCTTGCAAGGCAGGCAGCGGAACTGCTGAGCTGAATCCCTGGCCCTCTATGGTTGATTTTGGAGGCAACAGGGACAAGGAGAGATCAATCTTGAGAACAAGATGGGGAAACCACCTCCAGGTCACATGATTTGTTGGAAAGCCATAGTGGACCAGACAGTGAGGTACGAGTGAGGAAAAGATGAACCAAAATGGAGCCACACGAAGAGAGAAGAGGTGTGTGACTGTGAACTTGCAAAGGATGAGCACTGGGTATGGAAGTCAGGAAATGCTGCTAGCAACATGGACATCCAAATGAAATAAAAACGAGGTTCATATTATACAATAGACACAAATAATTCCTGCTATAGCTCACACATATAGATATAAAACAATGCTGATAAAGGAAGTTAATGGGAATTTCTTCATAGCCTTTAGGGAAAGTGGAGATTACACCAATTTAGCATCAATTCTTCCAAACACAAAATAGAAGAGGAAGGAAATATTATTGAGTCTTCATGGTGTTTCCACATCTACTCCACTGCTTCTACACTTATTATTTGAGATTCTAGCTTGCTTGCTTGCTTTCTTTCTTGGTACCAGGGATCAAACTAACTCAGAACCTTGCTCTTGGGAGGCAGGCAGCAGAACCACTGAGTTACATCCCTGGCCCTCTAACTTTCTTTTGACTATTTGGTGAGGAATTTCAGTAGTTCTCTTCTTCCCCTATCCAACCAGAAGCATCAAGTTCCCGTACACTAAGTCTTCTGTTTGTGGTGAGACACTTTTGGTATTTTTCTGTTCACATCACCGAATTCTCCTCTGTCCCTTTGTAAAGCACTGTTGTTTTTTTCCATTTGCTGATCTGTTCTTTGAAGTCTGGAACATCAGCTATTGCAGGGATTGTTTTCATCCTATGCTCCATTAATTGTTTATTGCAATGGTACTTTTCGCATCTGTTTTCTGAGTACCAAGTGTGGGTTTTGCACCCAGACAGGTCAGGTTTCTGACCCTGCCCTGTTCTTGGTTCTGTCACTACTTTGAACAATATGAAGTGCCATAAAATGGACACACGTGTGACTAGGCTGTGTCGATTCAATGGGTCCCTACAGCTGCCAGAGTAGGCCTCAGACTGGATTGATTAGCGGATAGAGCCCTCTTCCCCAATAACATGCCTTTGTTTCTTTGTGTTTTTGAGGTGGAAGCTTGTTTTGTTGTCGGGCTGGCCTTGAATTCACTATGGAGACAAGCCTGGTCTTGAATTCACAGTAATCCTCCTGCCTCAGCCTCCCAAGTGCTAGGATTACAGGTGTCCACCATCACACCTGCCTTTAGAAGAGATTCCAGGGAAGGAAGTTGTATAGGTAGGAAGTTTGGGAGACACCTGGCCATAGAGCTGCAGGGCCTCATCCCACAGATACACATGTCCAGCAGCCTCTGCCTTGGAGCCAATTCTCCAAAAGTTAAGAATGGCTGCTCCACATCCAAATGGTTCCTGCATGTGTGTGTTTTTTTCCCTTGGAGAACACCCGTCAGTACAGATAAAGCCAATTCCAGATCCTGATTTTCTCTCCTGGATTGTAAGAGCTGACAAGAGCCCCTTGACACCTTCTGGGCCATGGTACTGTCAAGGCCTTCCTCCAGGAGAACCCTTAGCAGGCCTCAGATAGAAGGGAGCTCCCAGGGCTCCTTTAGGATTCCCCATGAGAGCAGGAATCTCCCACACACAACTGACTCACTTCACTTGCCATGGGGTTGGAACCATTCTTATTCCCAGCATCCTCCATTCTTGTGTGGGTATTTGCTGCTCCGCCTAAGATCATCCACACCCGGGAAGCCCCACGTGTTTCATGCTGCTGGCTTCCAGGCTCTGCCTTTCTTACTAGTTCAGGTTTAGCTTCTGAGACAGGAGACTATAGGGGGAAGGACTTCAAATTCCAGTAACTTCTATTAGTTGTGCTCTTCGTCACGGCCAACAGTGGCCAAATATAAGCCCAAACAACCAGAACTGTGCATTAATAGATGAATTGGTTTGCAGGTTTGGTTTTCATGACGACTGTCCTGCTATCTGTCAGAACCAACACCTTCCTGGGATCTCCTAAGCATCCATAATAATCTTTTTATCCAGGTGTCTCCTTCCTTCTGAAGCCCAAAGCCTGCTATCCCCAAAGACCCTGCTCCCTATGACAATTCCATGCTTGACACAATGGAGTGGATGAAAGGCTGC